CTCAGAGTAAATAATGACTTTCCCTGTGTAGCCAGTGTTTTGCTCCTGTTTTTAGGCTCTGCTTTTTCCCCACAGTTCAGAGAACTGAAAAGGAGCAGCGACTGCACTTCCCCAATCCCAAGCAATACCACACATTGTCAGGCTGGTCCTTGCTGTGCTTTGTAGCAGCCTGGCTGCTAGTGTGTGCCCCACTTGCCAGTGGCCACAAGAGCTTGCTGGGATGCCTGTGGGTAAGCAGGAACAAATAGAGCATCAGTGGGGAGGCTGAAGGGAGGAACATGGAAGCTACTCTGCTATTGGAAGAGCTCTGTCAGATATCTTCCGAGTCCACTTCTGTAGGGTTGGGTACAGCACTGTGGCTGTCAGTAATTGTGTCTCACTCAGAAGTTCAGTACATAAGGCTCACTCCTTTGGTATGAAAATGGGTACACGTGGCTTTTCTGAGCAAGAATGGGAGCGTGCTGCCTTACAGCACTCCTAATACCGTGCTCTCAAATGTCATCTCATGTGTTGGGGACACAAAAATACTGCTGTGGGTTCGCACACTCCAAGCCCAGTTTCCATTTTGCAGCACTGTCTCAAATGCTAATGCTGTTTCTATAACTGACTGTTTATATCCTGGCTCATAAGGGAAAGAGGGAATGCAGGTAACAGCGAATTACTGAAGAATGAATAATGCTTGATCACGGAGAGAATGGCCCTCATTTGGTGCATAATGCTACAAATTGATTTGCATTTAAGTGTAAGTAGAGAGATTGTTCCTGAAAGTGTTTTGCAAATTACTTAGAATAATGTTGACTACAGCAGTTGGTAGCATTCATAATCAATATTGAGTTATTCATGACTGTTAACGGAAAATAGTAATTCTTGTACCTTTAAAAAATAAATAAGTAAATATAACTTGGCAGGACCAACCCCTCCTTTATCATGCCAAATTATGCACTGTAGGGTTCAGTCCATGGAAGTGTGTTGTTAGAGCTGATGTAAATTGCATCTAATGGCAGATGACTCATGGCTGTGCTGACAGCCAACACTGCATCCTAAAGGCACATACAAGCAGATGATGAGAAGAAAAAGCACAATAAACAGGGCTTCTCTTTTTCCCCTTCCCTAGATGCTAGATGCACAAGTTTTTGCTCAGGTCTTTTGCTGACATTGTCATTTCAGTGGCCATAAATTGATGTCTACACCAGGAGCAACAACTAGGACTTTTGAGCACAAGCTGAGCAAATTCTTTTCAAATTCCAAACAATTTTGAGGCTTGAAAAAGTACTGATACTTCAGAAAGTATTGACTTAACATGCTTCGTTGCTTTTCTTGCGAATGCCAGTTAAGTTTTATTACTTGTGCCAGGACTGTACCCCTCCAGCTTGTTATTGGTAATATCACACCCCCTGATGGAGCAGCAGGTCTTGATACACCCTTAGTGCTGCCTCTGCAGTGACAACACTGTGACAGTGCCAAGGGCTGAAGGCAGACCTGATCACTAAACAGGATTTTGAGGACTTGGTTAGGCTTTTCATAGAGAGAACAATCCCATTAAGATACAGTTCATGGTGTCACTTTTCCCTGTCTGTTGAAAAATGAAATGGGAGAGTACATGGAAACACTGCATTTACCTTCCTATGCTCTCAAGCCTCCTATATCTGGATGCTTGACTATAATTTTGGTGGATCAGGAGTCAATTTTATTTCTCCAGCATCTAATGCCTATGAACCAGCCCTACCCTGAAGGCATGAATGTGATGCAATTGGTACCACGGCACTGGGTAGCTCTGGGAAGCTGAACCAGTTCAAAATGCAAATGAGGCATTTCTGCCCTGCTGAGGTGTGGGGAATCCAGGTGCACTGGTGTGAAGTCCAACCCCCTCTTTCACATCTGGTGTGAAGTGCAAGGTAAATAAAAACAGAACCTTTAGTTTTGGAGAAAGGATCTTGGAAGCTTTAGGACAGAGCAGTGAAGTAGGAATGCCCAGAGCAGTGGTGGCATTTGTTAAGCTTCTGGCAAGAAAGCTTTTACTCCAGCCTTCTGTAACTTCATTTAAAATGTGATATAATTACTGTTTATGCTACAGCCCAAAGCTACTTCCTGTTTTCAATAGTGTAATTACACTAGAGGCACACCATTTATTCTGACTGTATCAGCCCAGGATATGGACATTACCACGTTAATAGGGAGTACCTTCAAATTGTTATACTTGGCAATAGCTATATCCTGGAGTAACAAACTTCTTGCCATTCATCTCACTGGGTCTATCCGTATACAAAGAAAAATAAACAGGAAACCACCATTCTTCCTTCTCCCTGCCTCACTGCTTTTAAATGTAGTTAGTCTTAAGGATGGTTTTTAAGTGCTGAATTTGTAGATGCTGCTTATGACCCCAGGAGAAGCTAAATGTGGGGAATCCATGTTGATCCAGCAGTGATGCTGCCCACTGTGCTCCTTGCTGCTGTAGGCAGCATGCTGCCCTCATACTGGGATGAGGAATGGCAAAGCTGGGAGGTGTTCCAGTGGTTCAGTGACTCAAAGCTGAATCAGTGTCCCCGTGGTGCTTGTCAGCACTCTGATTTGGTACTCTGGGGTGAGTAACTGCCTTCATAGATGCTGGTTACCCAGAAGAAAAGCCACACAAAGCTGTGGTTTCATTCTTCAGTATGACTTGGATGTTTGGCAGTGGCTGGCAGACTTCTTATCGTAGCAACAACTTGTTTTAATTTCTTGAATCAGCTCAAAAGCAGCATATTTACTGACTTTTGTTTCCAACGAGGAAATATGTAAATTTTAATTGATCTAATCTGAAGTTAGAAAACAAGTCTCTGCACATGAGAGAGGTAAGGGGCTAGAGTACTCTGGCTTTGCTTTTGACTGGATTCGATCTGAATTCACTGCTCCTTACCCTGCAGACCTGTCTGGCTTGCAGTAGGAAAAAGTTTTTTATGATAAGGGTAGTAAAGCACTGGCACAGGTTGCCCGGAGAGGTGATGGGTGCCCCATCCATGGAGACACCCAAGGCCAAGGGATGGGGCTCTGAGCACTTCATGGAGCTGTGGGTGTCCCTGTTCATTGCAGGGGACACGGACCAGATGGCCTTTAAGGGTCCCTTCCAACTCAATTCTGTGTTTCTATGTGTCCCAGAGGCATCTTCTGTAGATACTGGCAGAGATCTTTTACGTTTCCTGTTACAGACTGTGATGGCTTTGTGGAAGTATAGAGGATAGTCAAGTTGGTAACTCTCAATTAAATGGAAATAAACTCTCCAAAGCTCTGACTATATTGAATTTGGCCAATGGATGCTACAAGGGATGGTGTAGCTGCATGTTTAATGTTGTATTTAAGCTTTCCAGATACTTCTGTGTACTTAACAGTCCCTAAGTGCTGCAGTACTGATGCCTGCTTGTCTATGAAGGCTGCAACTCTAGAAAAGGAAGAGTAATGCTCCTTGGCAGGAAAGCTTGCTTTCCCCTTAAAGCACACTCATGTGTTTGGCCAGCATGAAACGAGCAGGGCTGGAGCTGACCAGCAGTGATTTGGTTTGTGTGGTTATTCCAGTACCACTGTTGCATCTTCTTAGTGCTTGAAATCCCATTCTGATATTAAATGAGCTTCTTGAGGCTAATTCTGAATATCATTCAGTGTTTCCATGTATTTCTTGTCTGCATCTTGATCATTAAAACAAGCTAGCATTTCCTGTGCTTGTTCTTACACTTGTGCTTCAGACATGGATGAGGCCTCTGGGATGGTTCCTGCTAGCAAGAGCTGTTTGTTTGACAGGACTTGAAATGCTTCTTTAAAGACTTTGTCTGCTTCTTGCTGGTAAAATCATCGTTACTGGCCCTGACTTACAGTTTTCATTAATTTTTGTTCTACTTGAAGCTGGGGGGGAGCCTTACTGTGCCAGTGCCTTATACTGGGTGTTGGGAGGAACATAGCAGTACTGGAGAAGATGTGTCCAGAATTATCCTGGCAGCAGCCCAGGCTCTTCAGAAGCCAGGAAGGAGATTTCCAGAGCCTAAGCAGGATGCTCTGGCCAGGCCATCGCGCCAGTTCTGCTCTCACAACTCATGAGGGAGGAGAGAAAAATAGCTTTTGGCTTTTTCTGTGAAAGGATTTTGGGTATTTGCAGAAGGTGTCTGGGGGGAGAATCTGTTCTTTCTTCTGTTCTCTTCCCTTCAGATGGCTGCCATTACATGAGGTACGCCATGCAATACTGCTTCACTGCTGCATCCATTCCCCATGCAGGCACTTTGCTTGCAGCCCTTCTTGATACAGTGCTTGGGTCTGCATGCTGTTATAGCCAAAGCATGGTTAACAGCTGTGTAGCTGTCAAGTATGTAGGTACTTCTTTTGGTGTGACATGGAGAGCAGAGGAAATAGGCTATGGAACTTCCAAGCATGTTTGGAGTGAAAGGTTCAAGAGATGCTGCTGTGAATGGAATGGAAATGAAGAAAAAGAAAAAAAAAAAAGGATAGTATGAGAACTTTCATAGTATGTGCTGAGTGTTCCTTGACTTTGTGTGCAACAAAACTCAGGGAGGTTCTGCATAAGTGCAGGGGTTTTCCGGCACAGCTGAGTGGCTCTGCTTTCCCTTTGTCACCTTGCTGCTGTGCCAGATCTGCTCTCCCTGTCCTGCAGACTGTGGCTGAGCTCCTTGAGCCAGCAGCAAACACCATTTTTCTTCTGGCTGGATTTCCACTAGTATACTGAGCTAAATCAGTTTCTTAAGCAACCAGGTGAACCAGGGCTGGATGCAGCAAGGCGTGGGGCTGAGGAGTATTTTTCAGTTAAATTTCTTTGTAGCCATAGCACTTAAAATGCTGCTAGCTATAAGTAGTCTACATACCTCTTTCTACTGAAGTTACAATCAGTGTTAAATCACTGTTGTTTCCAATCATACATAAACAAGAAGTTCTAATGCAACAGAATGTAAAGTAACAAACTTTGAATTGGTTGAAGAGAAGTTTTAATGAGTTCCACTCACTGTTGCTTTGTCTTTCTGCAGGGATGTGAAAGCAGGAAACATTCTTCTTGGAGAAGATGGCTCAGTGCAAATCGCAGGTAATTTTTTCCTAGCAGCTTTGAGTGAGCTCTGGGCACAACTGTGTGTCTGGAGAGATTCTTTAATGGGCAAGGAAAACAAACCAGCATAGAAATGGAAGCTTCAAGAAAAAGACTTGTTTTTCTAAAATTTAAAGAAAAAATCAGTTTGTTACATTTTGATATCTTAAAATACTATTCTTTGTAATAATGAACATCAACATAAATCTTTTGATCGTTAATCCCTTGGAATCAACAGATGAGATAAAAATTCGTGGTATAATGAGATGATAATTCTTGGTGGTTGCTAATACAGATGTGTCTGCAGATGCCTGTGCTCACTGCTGTCACAAGCTGCTTTCCTTCTGTGGGAGAGAATAGCACTATTAAAGACCCTGCACCTAAAATACAGAGTTTCTGCCTAAATCCAAAGCTGCTTTGTTTTTTGTTTCAAGTCTCCCAGTGCTCTTAATGCCTGCTGTTACATACATTCTAATGAAGTGTAAATAATTAATCCCATGTGGCAGCTGATGGAAGGCAGGGTGTGGCCACCAAAATGCTTTACACTAAAATACCTTTATTTTTTCTGTGATGGAGCCCAGATGTAACATTTTGGATTTGCAGTTGTACAGAATGTTAGGTTATATTCTGGGAGAGGCTATGTATAGCTGTAGCATTATGACAAAGCACTACTTTTCTGCCAGCCTAGGATAAAGCCACTTGTGTTTCTCTTCGACAGGGTGCCAAGGCTTGACTCTTTTATTAAGGCTTTTATTAAGGTGCCTGTTAGTGTATTTGTGTCTGCTGGCTAACTTACAGATGATAGGTAGTTTTAAGGCCAGCTTAAATGGTCTCATAAAATCCCTTTCTTAGCTTTTATGAATTTTGAAGTGTTTCTTTGGCTTGTGACTTGCAGATATTCCCCTGGACTTATATGTGCAGCACTTACATGATGAAATAATTTCTGCACATCCTGTGAAAGCAGCACTGCAAGATTGTGGCCTCCTAATATTCAAAGGGAGTGTATAAACAGGAGGGGACACAACTATTTACGAGGATGGATAGTGATAGGACAAAGGGAATGGTTTTAAACTGAGACAGGGAAGGTTTAGGTTAGATATTAGGAGGAAGTTCTTCACACAGAGGGTGGTGAGGCACTGGAAGAGGTTGCCCAAGGAGGTTGTGGGTGCCCCATCCCTGCAGGCATTCAAGGCCAGGCTGGATGTGGCTCTGGGCAGCCTGGTCTGGTGGTTGGCAACCCTGCACATAGCAGGGGGTTGAAACTAGATGATCATTGTGGTCCTTTTCAACCCAGGCCATTCTATGATTCTGTGTGCAACAAAATGTTCCCTTCAACAGTTTGTTTTTTTGTTTTTTTGTTTTTTTTATCTGAAGGTGCACAAGGAGTAACTCTCTAATCTTTCTTGCAATAAAGGAGAGCAACTAAACTCAACCAAGGTCAGCAAGTTCATAACAGCATCAGGAAGTACTTTTGTTTCTGTGAAAGCAGTTGATGATTTGAAAGAAACAAAAATAAACGAATTTCCAAATACAAGAGAGGAGGTTGGCCTGCACAAAACATGAGAGTTTGTTTCTGTGGGAATTTCTGACACTTAAGCTTCCTTTCTTCCTGACCCAGGATGGAATAGCGAAATTCCTTGTGAAATTTTTGAGCAGCGAAAAGCTGCTGGAAGCAAATCAATTCAAATAAAGGGAATTTTGTTTCAGCGAGATCAAAGTGCTTGCCTTCTGACAATATTTATGTGTCTTATGAATAATTTGGTTGATAATCAACTGCTTTAATTATCAGCTGGATGACTTCACTGTGTTCCCATGGAACAAAAGTATTTATTTCTCTGGAAAGTTACACCATGAGAAGAAAAAAAAAAATTGATCAGCTGTGGAATGAAGCCTGAGGTTAGAGCACGTGGGGCCCCTCCCTTGAAGGAACTGGGTATTGGTATATGTAAAAATGCAAACAGTTTAGCAGGAAAAGATGACTTCAGCTCTTTATAATGCATTCTTTCCCCTTTGTCATCCTTACATCAAAACTGCCTGCAAAACCCTGGGTGTGAAACTCTGAATGTTTGGCTTTTGCAGCCTCGTGTTCCTGGGTGCTTGCTGCTTCTTGACACCATTGGCCATGCTTGTCTCAGAAGAAATGGAAATCTTAAGTGCAAATCTGAGGAATGTAAATCTGACACTGCAAATCCTTCAAAACAAAGCAGCTTCTTTTAGGGAATTTTATAGACATGCCTACCCTGTAATGGAGGTAACCCTACTGCTGGGCTATTCCTCCACAATGTATCAGTGAACTGAATTCAAGTACTGTTAATGTACACCTGGGAAACTTTCCCTGTGTACAGTTCATGTTGCAGCATTATACAATTCCAACCCTTAGTGCTCTCTCAAAATAGAGAAACCTTTTTCGCTAATACAGACCGTGCAGTTCTGTGAAGACTGAACAGAAAAAGCATCTTGATGAGGGTGTGTGCAGCTTCTCTCGTAGTTCTGAGCTGAAGGGTGCAGTTGGGATGCAGGATGCACTGAGTTCAGGCTGGTGCAGGTAGCCACAACGGAGGAAAAAATCTCTGAGTTCAGAGGCATTTACTGAAAGTAGGCATTCTAAAAATGTCTCTAATGGCCCTCACAAACGCCTGGCTTAAACTCCTCCCCAGGTCCCAGGACTTGGTATTTTTATTCAAGGCTATTTTTAACTGTGCTCCTTTTGCTTTCAGAATATGCATCCACTGAACCAAGGCATAAAAATTGCCTTTAACAGATGCCACCAAAGCCTGAATTGAAGCTGTTTGCTTATATCTTCATTTTTTTTTTTGCTCTTTTTCCCAAGGGCACTGGTTTGGGCTTGTGGCTTGGCACCAAGTCTTTGGAGCCTGTTACGATCTGGAGAGCATTGCTTTCTCAGTTTGGAGTATTTTCTTGCACACTGAATTAATCTATCTGTAGGAGAGCTGAACTTTCTTTCCCTGATACCATTGTTCTGGGCCGTGCTGGTGGTGGTTGCAATGTAAATTGAGATAGCTGCGTTCTTTTGTGTTCCAGTCTCTCCATGGCAATTACTGTATTTTTTTTTTTTAATCAGAACATAAAACCTCTGTGCCCTGGCATTTACTGGCTCCGTGGAGTCTAAAAGCTTGCATGGGTAAAAACACTTCTTGTCGACATAAAGTGCATTGGCTCTAACACTCAGCAGAAACCAGGAGGCTTCCTCTCAGAGCAAGCAAGGCTTGATGTTCCTGAGTTTATGTAACTGTACAATTATTAAATTACTGGAAGATGAAGTGAGAGGCTGCTGATAAATGGGGAGGGATGGGAAAGGAAAGGAACTGAGAGGAGAGCACGCTCAGTACAGGAGGTTTGCTCACTATGAACCATGCTCCAGCCAAGGCACTGTGTTCCCATCTCATTGCAACTGCATGCAGGGCAAGTCCTTCTTTCAGATTATAATCACTGGGATATTAAATAGTTCTATCATACCCTCCTTCATTATTGAATGAAGAAACAAGAGTCTAAGGAAGCTGACGTGCTCTTACGGAAAACATCCGCATCCCTCACCGTGTGGGATTTTCCTATTGAAGGCATTGCTATTGTCCCCACAGGCTTTAAAACAAGACAGGATTAGCACCTGCTCCCAGAGGCCTCTCTCTGGCACTGTGTGCCTGCAATTTCCTGTGCACGCAGTGTTGCCTGGTGGTAGATGGAGATCTCACAAAGTCGTTTGGGACTCGCTAATTGATACTGGGCAAGCTGCCTAACCCCTCGCACTTTATCTATTTATAAAATGGGGATAGTTAAGGCCAGGCAAAACTTGTGTAACTGAATTTGTGTAACTTTCCACAAATCCATGCCAACTTGTCACCAGTTCGCTGTGTTCCTGACTGCTCTTAATTCATTGTACTAAAATAGTGCTCTACATAAACATCTAGCTATGATACAGTCAGTGTCATTCCCCTGCTTTGCCTTAGGAAATGGCAACTTTGGGTGATTAAATTGCTTGAGCAGTGAAAAGGCTCAAATCTGTATTGGGAAGAGGAGTGCTGATGCAGGGCTGGCTCAGACACTCACCTCAGAGCCTCTTCTCCTGGTCAAAAAAGGGCAAAAAGGATTTTCCTGGCGGCTGATGGGGACTTGTGGTGCCTGCCCTGTAACAGCATGGTGTTAACCTCTTCTCTGTGTCATCTGTAAGATTTTCTGAAGAGATGTTGCATTACTCAGTTGTTGAAACCACTTGTGAGCTTTCTCGAAGGGCAACATCTTCACCAGCATGTGCTTTGTCACCCTGAAGTTACTTTGTTTAGCATTAGCATATCTTAATGAACTTGCATTTGGGGCTCTGTTTCAGAAGCAGTTTTTACCTTTACTTAAAGAAATCTCATTCATCTTTCATGTGCCCTGACATTATTGCAGAATGACTCAACTTATGGTGATGCTTAGAAAAATACAGCTGACATTCCACATGTGAACTGATGAGAAATTTTATTAGAAGTAGGTGTGACTGTACAGTTCTACCTTTCCAGATGAGAATTTGAGAGAGTAAGTGTGTACTGACAGATCCAGTACTACTGTATGACCATATAGCTCTTAAAGGGAGCATTCCTGTTCTTCACTGATCTTCTCTCTGGTGTCTTACCACCCTGCTTTGTTCTCAGCAGAAATTTGCCATTTACCACTGGTTTACCATGACCTTCACCTTCCTCTTGTCAGGCTTTATTCATCATCAGCTTTAAAATCATAAAGTTCACAGAAAAGCACTCAGTACAACTGCAGCTGTTTTATGGTGGGCAGCTGAACAAAAAAGAAGGCGATCAGTGGAAGAAATGTTCAGTGCTTTCTTCTGAAATAATTTCACTTTTGCTTGAGGAGGCAGAGTATCTTGGCTGTCTGTGTTTGAAAACAGCTCTGAGTTGTTCATGCTGTTGTTCTACTCCTATAGAAGTTGGGAATTGTTGACACGGTGAAAGGAAGGGATGCCATTCAGAGGGACCTCAACATACTTGAAAGGTGAGCCCGGGTGAACCTGATGAGGTTCAACACGGCAAAGTGCAGAGTTTTGCACTTGGGCCGGAGGAATCCCAGGCATCCCTACAGACTGGAAGGAGCAGCCCTGTGGAGAGGGACCTGGGGGTTTTGATAGATGAAAAGCTTAACATGAGCCAGCAGTGTGCCCTTGTGGCTCGGAAAGCAAATGGGATCCTGGGCTCCATCAGAAGAGGGGTGGCCAGCAGGGACAGGGAAGTGATTGTTCCCTTCTACTTTGCTCTTGTGAGGCCCCATCTGGAATACTGCGTCCAGGTCTGGAGCCCCCAGTACAAAAAAGACAGGGAGCTGTTGGAGAGGGTCCAGAGGAGGGCCACAAAGATGATCAGGGGACTGGAGCACCTTCGCAATGAAGACAGGCTGAGGGAGCTGGGCTTGTTCAGCCTGGAGAAAAGAAGGCTGCGGGGTGACCTCATTGCAGCATTTCAGTACCTAAAGGGAGCCTACAAACAGGAGGGGAATCAACTCTTTGAAAGTGTGGATAATGGCAGGACAAAGGGAAATGGTTTGAAGTTGAGGGAGGGGAGATTTAGTTTAGTATGTCAGGGAGAAATTCTTTACAGAGAGGTGCTGGAACAGCTGCCCAGAGAGGCTGTGGATGCCCCGTCCATCCCTGGAGGTGTTCAAGGCCAGATTGGATGGGGCCCTGGGCAGCCTGGTCTAGTATTAAATGTGGAGGTTGGTGGTCCTGCCTGTGGCAGGGGGTTGGAGTTTCATGATTCTTGAGATCCCTTCTAACCCTGGCCATTCTGTGATTCCGTGGGAATTGCTGTTTTGGTCTGATGCAAACCCAGCAAACTTTCTGATTTCAGTTTCTTTGCTCTCCTGGCTCCTATAGTGCAGTCTTCTTTTTCCCCTAGTGATAGCTAGGTAGAACAGCAGGTAAATTGGCTTAGAATGAAGGAAACGTTATAGTATGAGATGTCTAAGGAGAGAGAATTTTTAATGTCTGACTTCTAAATAAATAAAACAATCTGATTTCTGGTACAGTGGGAATGTGTTTTCCTGACTCACACAGCAGCCCTGGTGCCTATTGCTCTGTCACAGCATTCTTGTGTTGGAAACCTATTGAGGCTGGGTTTTTCAATTGCATGACTTCTCTTGTTAAATGCATTTGCAGTTTTCCAGCTCTGTTGTAGTCTTAGTGAAGGAAGTTCAGCAGGGACAGATGTCAGTAAATCTGGGAGCTTAGGCAGATACAAGGAGGCACAGATCGTATCAGTGCTCAGAAGCGAGGGCTGAACCCTAAATGTGCTCAGGATTTTAATTTATGGCTTTACAGAATGTGCTTGCTCTCAGGAAGTACCTTATCTTAATTGCTGGGACTTGGATAAAGGCAGTAAGGTGGCATTTGAGAACTGTTTCAAAGTCACTCCTTTCAGCAAAGTAGCACAGGCTGGTTGTGCCTGTTTTATCCCTCTAGAAATGAGGGGAATTGATTGGGAAAACACTGAATAAATCAACCGTGTAATGGAATACAATTTAATTCCATTTAAACTTTCTGCAAACCTTGCATGGCAGATGCAGAGGCACAATTCCAGACTGGAGTTTATAAACTTGTCCTCGTGTTTGATGTGAAATGCAGTGAATGCTGTGTAGAGCTTGTGTTTTCACTGCTGGGATTCTTTTGCTTTGAGTGGCATTTCCTTTACCCCCAAATGACTGCATAAAAAGTTGAGGTAAGATAATATCTATAAGCTCTAATACAGCACATCACAGTAGCGTGCTGATGGCACTTGGACAAGTGGCTGTTAGTGTTACCTTATTCCAAATAATTTCTAATTGCTCTTGTGTTGAGATCAGTAGGTCTTGTAATTTTAGTCTGAGCTTTTTTGGAAGCTCTTTCAGTTTCTGTGAAAAGCAGGGATGGGATGCATATATGGAAGATCTCAAAGCAAAACCACTGTTTCAAGGAGATCTAATGGGTTTCCATCAGAATATTGTGGTGCTGACAGCAATGGTTATCCATCTAAATGCTAGAACTTCAAGGCTAGCAGCAATATGAGATGCCTCCAGCTAGGGGGAATACAACAGAATAGCTGGATTCCAATGATAGGCATTTGACTGCAGTTTCGGTGAAACTTGCCTTTAATGTGAACCCTCAATAATCAACGTACAATATTTTGGTGAGTACTAAATTCCTGTCCTTGAAAGGCTGCGATCTCAGAAGTTGGGGTCTTTCAGTGTGTTGCTTTGAGTGTTTCTTGATAATGAGAGATTGGTGAGAAAGGCACTGCTGTACTGCTGCTGTGATGCACAGAGGAGCTTGGCCCTGTTCAGGCACTCTGAGCCTGCCAGCAATCTCAAAAAATGACACTGAAGATTTTGATTGTTTGCACTGTTTTAGAAAACAACAACAAAAAGGAGGGGAAGAAATAAAATTCAGTAATAGAGAATGACCAGATGCAAGTCTATAATTCTGCAAGATATAAGCTGTGTTGTTTAGAGCAAAGTGGAAGGAAATACTTGGTTTGGGTTTACAGTTTCCTTGTCACCTGACTGAGTTATTTTCTCTAAGAATGGTTTGGTTGCTAAAACTTTTGTAATGTTTTCTCCTGAGCAAACTTAGACCCAGTTCCTGTCTCTTTATGTCTCTTCCTGGTAAAGCTCTGAGCATCTCAGTGATGGAAGGTTACCAAACAAAGCACGTTCTGATGGTAGAAGATCCATGGTCAGTGGCTGATACCAGTCTGCAGGCTGTGCAGTTGTGGCAAATATTGCAAACTGTTAGTGTCATATGCACTCAATTCCTTTTGTTCAGAGAAGTCTTGATTGCTTTAAATATTAGTGAGATGCCACTTGAAGCTTAGTTATTAGTTATGTACGTATGCAAACACAAATAAAGCACTTAGTGCCCAGGGCGGGGTTGTACAGCAGCAAGGCATGCCTTAATGTGCCCAGTGGGCTGTAATGGAAAGTGGAATTTTCCTCTCTGCTGGCCAGCACTGAATGCTGAAGTAATTGAATGGTTGACTACAGAGTATTCACGCACCAGCATTCTTCACTAACTGTTGATCGTTCTTCGTTCATTAGGAAACTCCTCATGTGTAACTGTATGTTCTACTGCTTAATAAGGGGCTGGAAATATGAGGGGACAAAGGGGGACAGCCCTTCAGTTTGCTGAGGATGTGATCTTAATGCAGTTTGTTTTGCTTCTTTTACAGACTTTGGCGTCAGTGCTTTTTTGGCCACTGGTGGTGACATTACCAGAAATAAAGTCAGGAAAACGTTTGTAGGCACACCTTGCTGGATGGCACCAGAAGTTATGGAACAGGTGAATTGCTTTTCCTAGCATCGTCCTCTTAGCTTGTCTGCACCTGGAATCTCTGTGTTCAGGAACAGCCATATTTACTCCCACCTAAGATGACAATTTTGCATCCTCTGAGGCTTAAAACCAGAGAATTGTCTTACATATGGCTGTTGCTGCCAGGCTTTCCTATGTAATGTTCAGTAGCTTCTCACCCTGTTGCTTCTCTCCAAGCTTGTACCCAAGGTAAGTATGAGGCAGCTTAGCTCTTGCATAAAGGAGATTAACCTGCCCCTCCCTCATGCCTAAATGTGAGGCAGAATATAAATAGTTTCATGTGTGGCAAATGTTCACATATAGTTAGGTAAGATGCAGTGTGTCAAGGTGGGGAGTTATCACAGTAAAATAATGCACAGTTGACCTTATTGAGCTTTTTAGTTTCTCTTGGCTTGTGAGTGTCCAGAATGTAATTACTGAGGAATTCCTCCTCTTCCCTTCTGCCTAGCTCATAGCTGTCATACTTCTTGTCTTCCACCACTGCTAGACTAAACTACAGGGGTAAGCTTTATCTGACCACTGATGAAGACTTTGTTTAATGTAGAGCACTGCTGCCTTTTTCTGAGCAAAATCGATCAGCAGAGTTATGCTCCAGTTCCAACAAAGCATCGTGCATTGTCTGTGGCAAGGATGCTCGGTGTCATAAACATTCTAAAAGCTATCCATCACAGTCTTAAAACCAGTTTAACAGAGAGCTGGACTTGGTTTCGTTTTTGGCGTGTGCACCAAGCAAAAATACTGTAGACTCTGTATTTTTCCTTTTTTCTTCCAGGAATTTTTGAAACAAAAATGTTTTGGAACAATGCTGTTTTATTAAAGTAAACCTTGCTTGTTACTTTCTTTTCTTCCTATTTTGTAGTAAAAGATTTTAGGAGAATTTGAATAACACCTCCACATATATATAATCTAAAATGAAATGAAGCAAAAACAGTGGTAAAGTTTTTAACACACTTTTTCCTATACCTAAAACTTCCGGAGGAATTGAGATCATTTTGGAGTGGTTTACATGCAGTATTTATGAAAGGCTTCTTCACTGCTTGGCCTTTTCAGTGGCTCCCCATCGTGGCTTTGCAGGGCTCCTGCAATCTCCCTGTGTACAGATAGAACACCATGGGTTGCCAGATGTGTCCCCTAAGTCAGGAGCACTCTTGGAGAACTTCTGAACCACTTTGCTGTTGCGTATTCTTGGGTTTTCTTGGTGCATTGATTTTTAAGAGGAAGGGGAAAGTTCAGCTGGAATTGAGAATAGCACATGCAGTATTTCCAGAACCGGGTCTAAGTTGTCCCTGCTTTTGTCTTTTGTGTCAGTGCTGCTCCATGCTGCCTGTGGTTAGGAATGGGAGGGGTGAAAAAGCATCTTAGGATGCTAGAAAGGGGAAACAGCTTTTGGAGAGAGAGGGGATATTTTGATGGGCAGATGTTTTCTAAGGAGGCAGGTGGTGGTTTTTTGTTTTGTTTTTTTTTAAGGAGCTCAGCAGTTCTGTGAAAAGTGCACAACTTGTAAGTCTGGGGTGACAGAGGAGAGATTTTGTGTGCTGATGTGAAATCCCTGTATCCACTGACGTCATCCTGCTGCCTTCCAGCAGGTGTCACTCTGAGCTGCTACATCCAGCAGGGAACAGAAGGAAGGGGTGAATGTAGGATAGCCTTCGATCAGTAGTTTTTCTTGATTCCATCCATTTTACTTCTGCATCAATAAGATCCTTTAGCATGTTAATATATGATAGCCTGGTGTTATCTCTTAATATACATTCACTTATTGGATTTATGGCAAAAAAAAACTGTTAGGACGAATAAATGAGAGAAACTTACTAGCAGAGTGATAACTGTTATGTATGAGATGGGTTTCAAGATGAAAGGCAGTAGGCGGGTTTGGACCTCATAGCTTTCATTTGAAAGCAGGATTGTATAATATAATTAACAATACCAATCAGTTAAAATGGGGCATTGTGCAGTGTGTAAATCTGTGAGATTAGCTGAGAGATAAAGCCAAGAAGTGTGCCAAATTGGTCTCAAAACCTAAAAATGATGTGAAGAAATGTCAATTTACAAAACTTGCAGTGTATTTCCTCTTGTGCTGTGTTCCTGTGAATTATGTAAGATGCACGTGCTTGTTCAGTATAATTATTTGAAAGCTATTCATAACAATGGCTTCCATAAGCTCTCACTTCAGGAAGCCTTTCATAGTTTATAAAGCTCATGAAAATGATGCCTGCAGAGCTGAAGAAATTAATATGCGATATAAACTGCTGCTGCTATAATAAACTTTAATTCAATTATCATATCACAAAAAATAGTGGAAGGAGGGGGATATCTTTTGCTTTGTTATTCTCACAATTCCAGATGATCTTAAAGGTAGTTTGGGAAATAGTTCTGGCTCCATCACAATGGGCTCGTTCTAAAGCTTGTTAGTGTCGCTGAATACAGTAAGCCTATTAGCTTTGCTCTGATTCATTATTCATCTTTGCATAGGGGAGCAAGAAGACATACAAGCCATTCTAAGCAGCCAAAACACTTTGGAGTTTGTGGCTCTTCTTGAAATTAGTACATAATGTCTCTCCCCTGCAGTGGAGAAAGCAAATGCCAAAATATTACCTAATGATAATGAGGAAGTAACCGCTTTGGCATATGAAATATTTTTTCCTGTGTGTGAGGGGAAGTAAATGCTATAAATTTTCCTAAACAAGCCTCTGTTTAATGTCAAGTGTAGAAGCTACTATTAATTAGTGGAGGGAAATATTAGCCTGCAAGCAGGAGTGAAGGTTTTTTGTTTTTTATTTTTTTTATTTAACTTACTGGTATATACTTCCAACACTGAAAATGTAGGGTCAAGCATGTTTGTAGTCAGATTGATAAAGTGGTTGACTAAAAGTGCAGTGAGGCAAATGTCCCAAGGGGATAATGCTCCATCTATTAACTATGAAAGCTTCATTATACTGTTTAATGTCTGTGCTTTTTGTGTGGAAGTCAGAGATGGGTGTATGCAGTGCCCCTTTATGTTCCACATGCGGAGAAGCCTGTGATAGAGCAGCCCCAGTTGCTCAGCCCAAGACTGTAACTTCTATCAGGCTGTGACTTCTTATACCTTCAAAGAGGTGTATTGGACTTCAGAGAGAAAGGAAAAGCAATTCTTTCCATCTCTTTAGCACTATAATATTACTGCTTCCAATTTACTGATGAGAAGTGTGGGGGAAGGAAGAAAAGGATGGAGGGTGAAAGGATGTATAACTAAAGAATGGGACTATCATATAGAATAGCAGAAGACACAGATGCTAACATGCACTAATATCTTTCAGGTCAGAGGATATGATTTCAAAGCAGACATCTGGAGCTTTGGGATCACTGCTATCGAACTGGCTACAGGAGCAGCCCCTTATCATAAATACCCCCCAATGAAGGTGAGCAAGTCTCCGGATACTTGTGTTAGACAAGGGATCTGAATGTTCTATGAGAGTTCCAAAGAATTTGGCCAGACTGTTTTGTTGAAGAGCTCGTCCTTTCTATTTGCATCTGTGGATCACGATGTTCTTAGACTTGTTTGAAGTCAGCTTTTAAAAATATGCCACTTACTCAGCGTTGTCCGAAGCTGCGCACAGTTCTCATTTAGATCTGAGACTCTCCTGGGTCACCATTCTTGAGTAAAGTGCTGTGTGGCTCAATCCTGGAGCCTCTGTAGACAGCAGATGGTAAAGCTGTAAATAGTGACTCAGAGTATGTTATGTGGCATCCACTGTCACTGAGATGGGGAGCTAATTCCTTTTGTATTGATGATCCTTCTTGAAACCTCTCAGGAACATGTTACCAGTGTTCCCCAAACAACTTGTGTTGTTTAACATGAAAACAATCCTGTTAATCACTGAATGGTGTCAGAAATTCACATCATTAGAAAATGGGAAGGGATTGGCAACATCAGTGTTTTGTTGAAGTTGAAATGGAGGAAACTGTCTTGCTTAAATGCTGCCACTTCAAATATCTCTTTGAACATCTTGAATTTAGTTTGGGTAACTTTCTCCAGTTTCCTGTTTCTTGGATTAGGAGCTGCTTTTTACATGCTCCTCTTTCAGGGAATTTGTATTGTAAAGTTACCAGAGTTGATTCCATTAGTTGAGATTTGGAGCACCTTGCCCTTTGTCTGAGCTTTGAGATCATCCTTGGCCCCTCTGAGATGTGATGGGACTTTGTCTTGATTACTTGATCGCAAAACTTTCAGCCCCTTCTGCATTTTACAGAATCACTCAGAATTGTATGAGTTGGAAGGGACCTTTGGAGATCATCCAGTCCAGCCTCAGTGGTAAAGTAGTTTCCCTTGAGTAGATTACAGATCCCATCCTCTTGAAGACCCCTTTGTTTCTACCCTTGGTATGCATACTTGCTCAAATTGAACAGGAGGGGGTGGAGAGTTCTTTTAGTAGCTGGGTAGTTTATGGTTGGGCTGGTCCCAACTTTAAGTATATCATATACTAAGTTTTCTTCTTTTTAGTCCTTGAGTTGATGGAGAGCTATGCAAAGTGAACATCATCTCTTTAGAACTTAGTGCATGCCCTTGTACGTTATGACAGCATTTTTGGAGCCCAGTAGCTCCTGATTTATTAGGGCAGGGACAAACATGTACTGCTTTAAATGCCAGGCAGGACTTCACACTGGTGTTTAATCCTTGTTGAACAGTACTAATTTCAAGATTTGCATCAGTTCTGTGCAGAGGCTGTGAGAATGGCTGAGTGGTTTCAAAACATTATTCAAATTCATACCATGTCAGTGATTGTGGCAGTGCAGTGAGGAGTTGAGGAAAATGTCATGCTGATTTAGCTGTAGCTGTTTTCATTGATACTTTGTGCTCTGATATTTAGTAGTGTTTTGCAGTAGCTTCTGCAAAACTTCTCTTTATTGTTTTCAGTGCGTGGATTGCAGCTTTGAATACAAAGATCACCTATTTAGTATCATGTTGTCATATAGTAGGTAGTTGTTAATCTGCAGTTATACTGGATATGAGTTCCAGTCATGCCGCCTGCAAGTGGATTTCTGTTTCATATATGGAATGTAGTTGTATTTCACTGCAGATTAATTTTCTTGCACAGCAGAATGGCCTGTGCATTAAGTGATTCTCTAAAGAAAGGGGAAAAAGCAGAGACTTTCTGTGGACTGTATAATTTCAGCTAGATTGATGGGTTTTCTCTGCCCTAAGTGATATAGCTGTTGAAAGAAAGCTTTTTAAGCGTGCTGTTTGCTGCTTCCTTTTCTAAAAATAGAAATTCATCTGGATGTAGGTGACAAGTGGAAATGGAAATTAGTCATTTTCTTCCTTTCCTTGAGAAAATATGAGTGATGTGAAGGAACTAATCAGTTTGTCTCGATGGGTACGCGTGTAAGAAATGTCTTCACCTGTCATTGCAGTGGTACATGGAAGGGAGCACTCCTGGTGTTTTATACAGTCCTACTGCTTTTATGAAAGCATTACAGGATTTTACACAAATTTCATTTCTGGATACAAGATACCTGCAGGGGAATCTAAGCAGTCTTTGAATGAGGTTTTCATGAAACATGTAGATGTGGCACTTTGGGACGTGGTAGTGATGAGTTGGCAGTTGGACTAGATGATCTTAGAGGTCTTTTCTGACCTTAATGATTCTGTGAATCCAATGTCTTGTATAACTGCTCATCTGAAATGAGGAAGGCTGTTAAGAGTAGGAACACTGGGACTAGATGATCTTAGAGGTCCCTTCCAACTCAGGCCATCTATGATTCTGAGTTCTGCTGCGCTTATGCCTTTCATCACATCAAACTTGCCTGGATGCTTGACCCGTGTACTGCACTGTGGGCCAGAAGATGCAATAGAAGACAGTGACATGGGCTGCTGGTTATAAATCAGACTAGCTTCCTCAGAACTGAAGAGATGGTAACGCTCCCTAGGTACTGATGAGTGACTTGTGAAACTCTCAGCTGACAGTCAAAATTTGCAGAGGTTTAAAGCTTTGGAAGTAAACTGTTACCTCGATGACTGTAGGAAGCAGAGAGAAGAGGAAAAACCCTATAGTTGCCTTGAGGAAAAGGTAGTGAGGTGAGTTCTTGTTGTCAGGTGAATAGGAGGACATTGCTGAAACTGTTAAGAAGAAAAGAATTGGTCTGAGTTCAGTCTTCCCTCCTCAGAGTTGCTGTAACTCAGCAACCTTGTTAACTCAGATATTTGATAAAAACGCTTGTTTAAAATGCTGTGATGCAAAGCTGTGTCCTTTATATAGAGGCCAAGAAAAATCTCATTGCCAATAGACATAATTCTTCCAGGTGTTAATGCTGACACTACAAAATGATCCCCCATCTTTGGAAACGGGTGTGCAAGATAAGGAGATGCTGAAGAAGTATGGGAAGTCTTTCAGGAAGATGATTTCATCGTGCCTACAAAAAGACCCTGAAAAAAGGTGAGAACTGATAACAACAAAGTAAACTTAAGAAAAAAATAACCCTAAAGATTCATTCTATTTCATTTTTTAAAGTGGTGCACTCTCTGCTTCTCTTGCCTTGTGAATGCAGCAATGTGTGGTAGCAAATTCTTTTGGCTGTCCTTATTTTTAAGGATAAATGTCTGGCATTGTTCCTCACCAGGGCACATGTCTTTCATTTGGGTTAATGAGTGCATCCCAGTCCCTGCTAGCATCTCCCCCTTGCCACCTCCAACAGGTGACTGCAGTTCATGTTTTGTTTCTCCTCAGAACTGCTCTGTGTTTATAAACCAGAAATTACGTGTTGGGCAATGTGTGCTTATTTGTGAAGCTTTTCAAATAAACTTCTTAAAACTTGCCAGTGCAAAGAAGGCTCTCAGTGTAGTTTTGACGTGATTAATTATAACTCATGTTTATTTTGGGGGGAAAATATCAGGAAAAAAAACAGTGGCAAATTTTACCTAACATGTTTTCATCAATACACATTGCTTAAGTCAGTTGATGGCACTTTCAGTCTTCTTTGCAACTTCAGCCTGACTGCTCAGTGCTGGTAGAAATATTGACCAGGACGTGGTGCATATGTTGTGGTTGGTTCCCAGGACAGCATTGTGTCACTGTGTGATGGCACTGTCTGAAGCCACACGAAGGTTTGCCCGTCTCGTGCTGTTTAAAACCCACAGCCCATCACATGAGAGCTCAGAAGATGGTGAAAGGAGAGTTGGATCTGCATTAAAAATAGCATTCCTTAAAAATGCAAAGCAAAAAAAAAAAAAGTATTTCCACAGGTCATTTTTTTAATATTTATACTTCTTAATTTTCTTTTTTCTTCCTAAGTAAGCTAATTCTGGAAAGGGAAATGTCCCTTCATAAAATATAAATTGTGGAGATATTTTCCAGTTCCTTCCTGTACTGGATTCTGGAACAAAGGCTTCTCACACATCATGAGATGGGTGTGGGGGGGTTCTCTCTTCTAACAGTCTTTACATTTGAAATGCTAAAGGAGTCCAGTAGAGCGCTTGATAAATGCACAAAACACATTTTTTCCCCCAGCTTGATATTATTCTTTTTCATTTTTCAAGCATGTCCTAGCCCTGCAGGTTAGAACGTGTGATTAGAATTAAACATAATTACTTTCAGTTGTGGCATCCCCCATCTCTCTTCTCAAGCACCACTAACAACCACTGTAATCATCTTTACTGTGGGAGCAGGAGGTCTGCCCGTGAAGAGCAACCTGCAGAATCAGATATGTTTATGCAAGCATACAGGCTGTTAAAGAGAAAAACTGAATTGCTTTTACTTTATTTTTGCTCACTTGTAATAAGGGCTCCCCTGCTATAAGATGAGCGACTTTTCTGGCATAGTCTGAAGTGACTGCCCTTTTTAAGTCAGGAACCACACAATGTAGGCAGTTTGCAGTAGGGTAAGTGTTGTGAGCTGCTGCTTTCTCACAGAGGTCTGAGTTTTTGGAATACTTGGGGGAATGGCTTTTTTTTACTTTTCAGTGTCTGTCCTAACGCGTAACTTAAAAGGGAAGAGCTAATTACATGTATATATAATGAAGCATCTCTGGAATAAGTCTGTCACTACACATGGTAGGTACTGCACTCCTTCAGTAGATGATGATCCTTCATCTCAATTCTCAGCAAATTGCTTCTGTGATTCTATCAGCTAGGCTGTAAGAATAGGAACAGGGCTCTCTGCTGAGTGAACTCACAGTAGGCTTTGCTCAGAATATACTGACACTTAAAAGAATGTTTGATTACACTGATTAACTCCTAGGTCGGTTGTGTAGGAGGTGATGCCCTTATGAGATGCAGCAACCTGTAAGACTTGAGTTAAAATGGAGCATTTATAGTGTTTCTTCTGTTTTTATTGACAGACCTACAGCAGCAGAACTTTTAAGACACAAATTTTTCACAAAAGCAAAGGTAAGGAAACTCTTCTGAAGCTGATCTGTGGAGAGTTTGTAGAGGGGACTGGTCAGAAGGATGATGAAAGCTTTACTGATGTGAATGTGAGCTGTTCCAGAAGGCCAGAATAGCTGAATTGAGTCAAATGGATCATTGTGAACAGACATAATGAAATCTCTCTTCTGTACCTCCTTGTGTTTGCCACTATTAGGATAAATTATTTAGAAATTCTTCAGTGTTTAAATGCCTTTAGGTGGGTTTGAGGATTTTTTCCTTCCCTTGTAATGGCTGTGTGTCCAGACCTAAAGGTGTCTGGCAGCAAATGGAGCTTATATTTATATTTTAGTAAACTGTAACCTGTCTGTGTAAGTCTGTATGCAAAGCAGTGAATAAGGCCCCCACTGTGTGGAAAGTTGCCTCATGCTATAGAGATAGAAAGTGAAAATTTCATGATATAAAATAACAGGAAATTCCCATTTGTAGTCATGAAGCAAACTGCATGAGCATGTATCCACTGGTAGCTGATAGAACACCAGGGTGTCAGCAATTAATGGTAGTAGGTCTCAGCTTTCAGATTAAGATGTGTACAGTAGCCACATAGAGTTTTTATGTTATCATAATGGGATTTTAGGCAACTGATTTGCTTGCAACTTGTTTACTGAGAGCATGCTTGGTGTCCAAAATGACAGGGAGATGGTTTACGCATTGCTGACCTTTCTGTACTTGGCTCATGACAGTTTTAGTTCATGTTGACTTCATTGTGTATAAAATTGCCTTCGTGCTTTCATTAAGCTGCTGCAGAGTCACATATTAGCATATGCAGTGATAGAAAATTAACATGATTGTAAACGAGGCAATGCTTAAACCCAGAGGGAATAATGCATGCTAGTTAGTTAGTGCTCAATGTTAAATTGCCTTCATTGGCCTTTGCCAAACTGACAGCTGTGACTTGAGGATGAGAAAGTCCAACTTCTATACGCTTTTGAACCAAATGTAAAAATAGTTTATATAATGTAAAGTATGTTTTGCTAATGCTGACAGCCAGGTATCAAAATGTGGCAATGTGTGTCTTAAGGAAATGCAATGCTGTAGATCATTACAGCACTTACCCAGTATTTAACCTGCTGTGATTGCTGCCTTTGCTGCTTCTCTACACATCACATGTTGCACACTTTTCCAGCCACTCAAACTGCTGCTGCCCCAATACCTAGGTCCTGTTATGCCTGTGGGTAGGGATTCCCATGTCCTTGCCTGTCTGACTTCTGAAATGTGCCTTTGATAGGACAGGCATAAATGTAGAGGTAAGAAACAGCAGTGTGGTTAGATCCAGGTGCTGTAGTACCTGCAAAGAGCAAGATATCAGATGCTGCTATGTAGTGAGTACAGCTGTGTACTCCACTAAATCAGACAGTTTTGTTCAGTTCCTCAGTTGTCAGTTTCTTATCATCTGCATAGGGAAAATGCAGTTACTAACTTAGAAGGTATTTAGGATAAAACATCATATGCTGTACTAAGGAAGATAGCAGTAAAATTGTCCTTAGAGTTGATCTCTCTTTGAGAGGAAAAGAGGGTGAAGCATACAACGAACTATTTTATTAGAAATTATTTTCAACAGCTTAATTATCAAATGCCCTGAAGGAATTAAAGGGTATTTCTAGCAGTGTGAATGTTTAGTTATTTTCCTTTTTTTCTTTTGCAGAATAAAGAGTTTTTACAAGAGAAGATGTTACAGAGAGCACCAACAATTACTGAAAGATCCAAAAAGGTACTGCAAAACTGCTGGGCTCTTGCTGTTATGATTGTACTAGTTTTTTAATGAGCATTATTGTAGTACAGTATTTTCTAGGTATAACTAGATGTTCTATTAAACATCTGAACACGCTGACTGAAGATGCATTTCTCCTTTTAAAACAAAACAACAACTCTGTCTGTTCTCTGTCGTGTTGAACAGGTGAGGAGGGTCCCAGGATCCAGCGGGCGTCTCCATAAGACTGAGGATGGCGGCTGGGAATGGAGTGATGATGAACTAGATGAAGAAAGTGAGGAAGGCAGAGCAGCAATTTCACAGCTCAGGGTGGGTCCTCAGACTTCAACAGCTTTGTGTGATATTCTAACTGTAGTATGTTTAAATATTCCTGGCATAGGAATAAGTTTTAAGTGTGATGCACAGTAAGTTATTGTGATTCCTTCCCCTCAAGTTTGCAGCCAAACTGGGGAAAGCAGACTGAAGGTTGAAGTTCTTACTGATTTCTTTTCTGTAGTCATTCTGGGGCACAGCTGGTCTAATTCAGGGATGTTGAGCATAATTGAGAGCAGGAATTCAGACAGCATGCTCCAAGCTTGGCATGTAATTCACTTGAGCTTGGATATTCTTTATCTGTTTGAGGTGCTTTCTTCTGGAAGTGTCAGGAGAGGTTTTGTCCTACTGCACTCTCCAAGATGGAACTGGAATCAGTGTGGCCTGTTCTTACAGCTGATATCTGAAACAGAATCTAGTTCTTTACTCTCAGTTACACTGAGATCTATTAGTCCCTAGTAGAAAATCCTATTGCATCCATGAAGTTGCAAGGAGGGAGTTGGTCTAGCACTGGAAAATCCCCCCCCAGATACACACCTGTCCCCACAACACATGCAGCCTACTCCCTAGGAATGCAAATGAGGTATGCATAGTCTTCCTCTAGCCAGCAGAGCAGAATTTTCACTGTATTGGCTTTCTTATGTTATGTGTTTCCTTCTCAGTGAGGTGGGCAGCTTGAAGTGCGTTTTAATCGTTCTGTTGAGTTCTTGAGATAGGAAAGGGTATCTAGAGGAAGATCTTCAATATGGAGGAAAAAAAACAAAACATTGGGTTTGAAGCATTTATTCTTTAACAACTTCCACTTTTCTCATCCTTCTACTGGTGTGATCTATGTAGAAATTTAGTATTTGAAGCCATATTTTGTTCCTTTAGCATCTTTTGAAGTCATAGGTTTTTCAGATAGCTGTTAGTATAGCAATTCCATGTAATAATTTGTGGCAACAGCTATGTGACTTTTAAGAGCTCACTGTATCCACTCCTTTGAGGAGGATCTCTTGGTACCTGGTGGGTATTACTGAAATTCTTTATAAGCTCAAATCCTCTAAATCTCTCTTATAGACTAAAATACAATCAATCTGTAGGATGGAATACTGTAAAAGACCCTGACTATTTCAGAGGTTAATTAGAACCTGCTCTATCTTGTCTCTAAGCTCAGAATCCTATCAAGTAATCCCACTTACTGTGTTTTGAACAGTACTTAGATGTTTCATTCTTTTTACACAGAAAAACATGTTTACAAGCTCCTTTTCAAGTTACTTTGTTTACTTCCTTTTCTTGGAGCTTTGGCATATTTCCTTTTCTCATCTTTTCTCATCTCTTTAATTTGGGACATTCCTGGCCTTCACTTTTGGACCCTGGGCATCTGTGCAGCCCAAAGGGAAAAGAATAGGAGCCCCTATGCTCCTCTTCCATTTCATCCCCTTTTAAGACTTGGATCTAAATTGCAAACGTTTGTTACAAACACTGTGATGTTATGGAGTGTTAATTCTGTGTTCTGGCCATATTTCAAATGCCACATGAATTCCACCTGCCTGTAATCCCTTTATTCACCAATTCAGTAAAACTGTAGTGTGAGTTTAGTCTGTAGCCTTTATTTATTCCTGCTGCACCTGACTTTTACTGCTGTCAGCCTTAAAGGATGGCTTATCAACTGACTTTATTTGCTGAAGTATCCTCTATGAAAGCTCTACATAAATAGTTTGTATTTGCTGTCAGTTTCCACTTTACAGAAAAAAACAAAGTGGATTTAATACATAGTGTGTATTTCACAAACATGTTGTTGAGTCTGTACCTGAAAGCAGACAAATATTAATACTAAAAAAGTTTTCTGCCTGGGTGCATGTATATTTAAGCATGTCCCCTCCAATCATCCTATTTGTGCCTTAAGTGAATGTATTCTAATGTTTCTCTTATTTCCATTCTGCCTGTTCATGTTTTTTCCTTAGTTTACCTCTGTTTGCCTTTTATCTGGGCTGGTTAGCTGCAGGGCACGGCCTGTGTCCCGTGCTTGTCTGTACAGTGTCTGACACACTGATCTTTTGGACAGTTCTATTTCAGTTATTCCTTGAGGCACCCGGGTGCTCTTGGATATGAACTTTCTGCCTGAGAGAACAGCACTAAAGCTGTGGCCTGCAGATGTGGAGCATTGCTATTTACCTCTGGGAGCAATGCCATATTTTTCATCTTTGCCTGGTCGCTGTCAAGTGAAGGCTTAACACATCAAGATGGATTTCAGCCTTTACCCTTCCAGGTTGGGTTTTGGCATTTACCTTTCCTGACACTGTCTGCAATTAGTCACTGTGAAGGAGCTGTTTCTTCTCCTTCTGCCCAGATGGCTTTTTGCAAATTGCTATTCTCTGAATAAGACCTTTTCTTTTTCTCTAGTGAGATGCCTCTGGGTCATACATTACAAATTGTCCTGACCTGTACTGGTTAAGTCATTGGCATTGGTTATTGCATAAATTGCCCCTGGTTTAGTGGCATGATAACTTTTGTTCTGTCGGACTCATACTGTCCTGATATCAGGCTGTCTTTTAGGCACTAGGTATAGAAGAACATTCATATTGTTAGTCCCAGCGTGGACCTATCTAATCTCTGTACAGTAATTGGACGTGTTAGAAGCCAAAAATGCAGGCTATCTTAATTGCAGAGCTTTTCAGGAATTCTTGGCAATTCCTTTCTGTCCATGTGAAATAATTGATGCTTATTGTCTTTGTTTTCTGATAAGCAAACATTGACCACATTGCTTTGACTGCACTTTCCTTCCCATTACACTGATCTTTGTTCCATTGCTGAACTTGTGCATAGCTGTCAGTTTTCTGCTCTCTCTCAGGGAGAGCATAGCATCGTGCAGAGTCCAAGGGCAAGGAGAAACAGGAAGGAGATTTTTCCATAAAACAGCATATATAAGGCTGTTGTTTTTTTCTCAAGACTTTGTATGGCTTAAGCAAGTTAGCTTGCAAACAAATTCCCTAAATATCAGCAAAAGATGTGTTTCCTAATGGCATTTTATAAAGCAGATCTCTTGCTTATCTTTTTCTGCAAGATTTGGGTAGCTTAAAATGGATCTTGCACAAGCAGTTCGAGCTAATCTTGAGTTATCTTCAAGAATGCTTGATCTTGTTATTGGTTAGCAGTTAGAGCAGCTTATGTATTGCGTACCACTGTATGCCAGCTATAGCAGAAACAACATGACTGTGTATTTCTGGGTACTATAATATGATTAGATTGCCACCAAATTGTGGCTTTCATTTCATTATACATCTTAATATCTATATGTAATTTTAAAAAACCAGTAAGTTTTATACATTCAGTACAACTCTGATAAGTCCTAGTTGATAAGTTTAATTTCTGTCAAGGCAATGACAACCTTTTCTTATTTATTTATTTTTTTCAGTCTCCCAGAGTGAAAGAACCTGTACAGAATTCAGAGGTAAGTATTAAATGTGAATGTCTTCCCAAATATGGTAACTTCTTATTATTTCTGTTACAAATAGACTGAGTAGGAACCTCTGCTCAAAACTGTGAAATGAATCTCTATTAGTATTTGATTGCAAACGAAACTTAATTGCAATTTGTAATCCGCATTCAGCTATGTCCTGTGCTTCTTACATTAGGAATATTAGTGTATCTTATCTTTCAGTGATAGAGACTGCTTATTTCCTGGGGCATGCACTGCACTGTGTCTTTCCTTTCCCTACCTGTTCCATTTTCATCTGCTTTCAACGATTGATTGTGAAGGGAAGTCTCAAGTAAGACTGCAGCTTTTGTAGTATAATTTTAAGTTAACTCTGAAATCAAAAATGAAACCAAAATCCATTTGGGGTGAATTTCTCCACTGTGATACATCCCTTTATATATATTGTGGTTTGAAGATCCCAGGCTTTAAGCATCCAAGGTGAGTTATGTTTCCTACAATTGTGTGGAGTGAGTTGGAGGGCATACTGCAGAAGTGCCATCAAGTTTCAAGTTCTTTGGCCATCATGCCAAAACCAGTTACTGTTTCAAATATCTGGAGTTCAGAACAACAAAAAGGTTAAACTTCTTTAGCTCTCCTCTCTCTCTCCATAGTTAAATTGTGTATACGTTTTCTTGATAAGGGACTATCTTTAGTAAGTGCAGTCTCAAAGAGTTTGTTTTATATGCTTTGAAGAACTGGTGCTATGTAGAAAGGTAGTTTTCACTTGAATACCTAAGTGCTTTGAGTCTGACATTTGTTTTACAAACAGATAAATTATTGATAGATGCTGAAGTGCTTTACAGGTAGCAAAGTTGCTCTATTCTGACTGTCTGGCTACTAAAAAATACAAGAAGGCATCAAATTTTGAGAGAGCATCCTATCCAGCACCTTTTTCAAGCTTGGATATGTTTTGCATGCATCTAGTCTCACTAGCAGCAGTGCTCAAGTCCCAACTCTTGAGTTATTCTTATTCAGACACCTTTTTGCCTGCAGCTATTCCCATCAGCTGAGCCTCCAGCTCCTTCACTCAGTGCTCCAGCACAGGCACCTATTCAACTACCTCAGGCTGCAGGACCAGCACCTGCACAATCTCAGGCTGCTGTACCTCCACCTAGTCAAGCTCCTCCAGCAGCCCCAGCAGCAGCTCAGGTAAGATTTGTACTGCCTTTCAGCTTTGCACTTCACCATTCAGTCTGAGACATGATGAAAGCCTTGAAAGTTGCTTGTCTGGAGTTGCATGAGTGCTGCTGTTTACACAGAAGTGACAGCTGGCCTGGTAGCTTGTAAAAGGAAGACAGCTAATGTGAGCTCAGCAGTTCTTCTTCTGGTGAAACTTTCACTGTGGGTGAGCAGTGATTTATATTTTTATGCCGTTAAGGGAGTGCAGTGTTTGCTTTAAGGTAAGGTTAAAGGTAGAAGGGAGAGTAGTTTCAGTGGCAGCTGCTTGTTCCTGGTGTTTGAGGACAAATTTTTAAGGTGTGCCACAAACAGGTTCTGACTGTGTTTGCCCCAGCATCATTGCAGTCTGTGGGATAAGAGTGGAGAGATAAATGAAAGGAAGGAACTAGAACATGTAGGTTCTCCAGGCATCAAAGGAGGGACAGGGGACCTAGGTTTTAACTGTCTTTGTAGTCAAAAATAGGAGAGAAACTCTATCTTTGGGGAAATCTAAATCTTGTGGTATTCTCAAGCACATCCATTTCAAGCTGAGAGGGGAGAATAGGGAATTTAAAAGCTTGACAAGCCCATGTTTAATTTCTATCTGCATCACTACAAATTGTAGGTTTTAGTTCATGTAGGCAGACGTGCCAAAATTGGAAAGGAGCTCTAACTTGTGTTAAAAAGAGAAAAAAGGCCAAACTAAATAATTACGGAGATACTTGGAACATTTCTTGTGGTTAAGCACTGCAGAGTGTGCCAAACTCCTGAGTGATGGCACCTCTTCATAAAAGACACTAATGTTCATATTTATTGATGGGTAGAAGCTGTCTCTGTTGGATGGGTCCAAGGTAGCATCACCCACTGGCAGATGCAGAGGGAAGAAACTTGGCAGCGTTGGTCAGAAAAATAACTTAGACTTGCTCCTTCCTAGAAACATTTCATTATTTTTGTTTTAGAGAAAGTGAAAAGATACATACATCGCTTCAGTGCAGTCAGCTCATGTTCCTGTTTACAAAACCATTAAAGATAGTGCATTAGTCATTAAACAAAAACACTGGAGATGAGATCTGTCACATTCTTGGCTATTTTAGAAGTAGCTTTAATGCTTAAATCAAACTTTCACATCTCTTTGGGGGGAGAGGGAGGGGAAACGGCCAGTGTTTAATCCCTGAATTCTATGCAGCAGTTGAAACACCAGCAGCAGTGAAAGCCAGAACTCATCAGTTCAGTAAATTGATGTTGCCATGTTGGCCTCAATTAAAGTGTTTTGATTTGCAGCAGTAGAGCATCCTGTTCCCTGCCACTATGGCCCAATAGCTTATTTATTGGTAGCTTGTCCTAAATTGAACTTCATACCTCTGTGTGTTATGGTGTTCTTCCTTATAGCTTTCACAAAGAATCACTGGTAAAGCTTACAGCTTCAGCAGATCCTGGACTGTGGTCAATAGCTGTGAGCTGCATTGGTGGCAGAATAGCACCAACAGATGGAGTAGAATATGATTCTGAAACAAAGGATGATCGTTTTCACTCGTGAAAAAGCAAATGATCTGGATGAAACAAAGAATGTGGTCAAGATTTCTAGGCTTAAATTCTCAGCTAGGCATTGTCTGTCTTCTTACTGCAGATTTAGAATCCCTGGCTCAGCATGTGCAGCACAGATAATTTGTACAGAGAAAGAGTAATTGACTTTTTTCAGTTAGAGTGGGTTTTTTGGTTGCTTTTTTTTTTGTGGAGTTTGATTAATAATTAGTCCTTTACTGGAAGTATCACAAGTGCTATAAAGATGGATCTTTCCTACTGGAAATCTGCTGCTGAGCAATATAAAATGCTTTGACTGCAGGTACCAGTAATTACTCAGAACTAATTTAAAAACGAAAATAAGTAGCTAGATAGTCCTAAAGTCCCCAGTTTCACTAAAAAATAATTGGGAGTATATCCTAATCTACCAATTAATTTTTTTCCTATGTACTCTTCGCAATTGTATCACATTTGTAAATCAGATGTTTGGGGCAGAGATTAAAACACAGGAGGTCTTGAAATGCCTGATGAGTGGCAGGCACTTCATGATGAGGATGAGTGCCTGAAAACCTTAATTTTTTGAGACAAAACAAGCACTCTCTTTACAGTTAGCATCTACTCTGAGGTTTCCTGCTAATTTGACATTTCATAAAGTTGTGTAGTATTTCCTCTTCTAGAGACAATTGCAGAGAACATCCTGATTTACTATTTAAGCACGTAGCTTTCCCATTTCATTCTGTCTTGATTTTCATTGTATTGTCAGGACTCCAATCATGAGTTAAATGTTTATTTTTATTTATAGTTGATTGAGTCTATTGCTAGTTTTAATGCTAGAGAAAGGAAGCATTAGTCTGTTTTAAAATAACATAATCCTATTGCAGGCCCCACCTGCCCCCGCTGCAGCTCCGGTACAGGAAGATACAAAAGTTCCCATCAGCCTTGTACTAAGGTTAAGGTAAGGACACATAACTGATCTCTTATGTCAAAGTAAGTCTTTGTAGAGAGGTATACTGGAAGGACCCTGTAGTGCATCTTGTGTGCCCTTCTAGTTGAAAAGCCATGGCCATGTAGTTTGTCAGCTTGGATTCTATTCACCTGCTGAAACCGGGACTAAGAAAAGCAGTTTTAATCTCATTTGCTTCTCCAGTTTGACAAGAACTAGGTTGAAGAAGGTTTTTTTACTTGAATACATCTCCCTAAACTATGACAGTCTGGGAAGGAAGCTGGATTCTCCAAAAGAGGGTCAGGGATCCAGGGATTTTGGCCGTGTGCCTCAATAGCCAGATAATCCAACGCAACTTCAGTCAGCTAGTTCTGAGATTGAAGAGCTTTTATTCAAGACATGGGTTCTGGGTCACGTCCCTGGAAAAGGCAGAAAAAGGGTTATAAGTGCACTCTACCATCATTATGCATGTTGACATTTCTCATTTAAGGAATCTGCCTCTCGCTTCATGGACATCTTGGTTGTAGATAGGCACTGGCTTGGTTCTTCTGAGCATCGTATCACAGTTGTTCTTGGGCAAGTGCATCCACAGAATGAGAGTGCTTGCTTCCTCTGAACGCTGTGCTCCAGAGATAAAGCTGCTCATAACTATGAGTTGCTGACTGTGGAACAGTGTGGCCTTATCCCAGAGAGCTGACACTCACAGACTGTAAACTTCAGTCCACTCCATGCTCTGTGAAGTTGACAGGAATAGTGTTGAGGGCTTGGCTTCCAGACGCACAGCCAAGTGAACAGTTTCTGCCATTCAAGGATGAAGTGTATAGTGAACTTGAGTTTTCTTCACAGACTAATTCTTTGGTGGTAGCACAGTGTTCTTTTGAACACTGCTTAGTGCAATGAAATGTTCTCTTCCTTATAACATTTTCTTCTTTCCACAGGAATTCAAAAAAAGAACTCAATGATATCCGATTTGAATTTACACCAGGGAGAGGTGAGCTGGTGTGACATTCTGGTGCGTGAGGGCGGTTTGGTTAAAGGGACCTTTTGTGTTTAGTATTGTTCAGTTGTGTGTATGGAGATGCCATGAAAGCGTCTGCTTCTAGTGCCTTCCCAAAGGTATTCCAAGGCTTGACTTATGATCAAGCTGTTAGCTCAATTGAGCACTGAAGCTAAGAGGCCTCTCATGTAAAACTGTTACAAATATGACTGAGTTACAGCCTTTCCATGCATTTTAGCTTGGAGTCTGGAAGCATAGCTCAGAACTGTCTTACTGCACTGCTGTAAGCAGTAGGCTGGTTGACGTATAGAAATGTGTGGTTTTCCCCTTTCCCTTCTGTGGCTTTTGATCCCATATTGAAAATGAATAGCTAGAAGAAGAATTGACCTGAGAAGATAGCAATGCAGATACTAGTTTGCTGGGCTTTCCCCTTCCACATGAAAGATCTATCTCCCTACCAAGTCACCCTTTTATTGTGGAGTAGACATACAAGCCTAGAACTTGCCTATGTAAATATCTGGCTTGCAGCAGTTGTCCTTTAGGCTGCCTCACTACACATTGAAAGACACCTCTTCAGTAGGGTGCATTTAAGGTGTGCACTGAATTGGGTGAGTGGACTTATTTTGTTACTGATTTTGAAGAGAACATCTCAGGTCTTTGTGAAGGCCAAGGACTCTGCAAAGTTTAGAGTAGCCTCAGGATTTGCCCTGACAAGGATAGGGGAAAAGAAGCAAGCCTGGAACTGCACAGTCATTGCAGCTCAGAAAACAGAACTTTTCCAGCTCAGTACAGACAGCCCTTTCTGACCAGCATTAGAAAAATTAAACTTGAAATGAAAGTCTGTGGTTTGCATACACTGTCTCATGTAAACAACATTTTTGCTGTTTGTTTTTTTGTACAAGCTTCTAGATTTCTGTGTGATACCTGTGTCAGCTGGACAGTTTCTTTTGTGTGGTAACCAGTACTTGTGTTTCTCCCCAACAGATACTGCTGATGGTGTGTCTCAAGAACTAATTTCAGCAGGGCTTGTTGATGGCAGAGATCTGGTAATAGGTAATTATCAATTGTTTCTTCTGCTTGAACCATTTCAGTCATTTCTGCATCTTTAAAATGACCTGATGAGTGGGTGCTAGGAGAGTTCTCCGTGGCCTTGATTCTCTACCCCAGTAGCTCTACAAAACTGCTGGTAATTCCAGTGGTTGTTCTGTGCCCAAATATATTTAGGCAATCCTTGGTTCACAAGAATGGGGTTTAGTTGGAAAGATTTCAAAGCAAATGTTCCCTGTAATGTGAAATGAAAGTTAATCAATGCATTAACTAAATCAGTCTCATCTGACATAGGCACTGCCAAATTGCTGCACAAACCTGTACTGCTGATAGGTTCTGCACAAAGAGAGGTCTGGGACTGGCATCAGCCAGACTTTTTTGTTTTAAGGCAGGCTGTGGAAGAAAGTATGAAGCCCCATTGCATGCAGTGCAGTTGGGCTAAGGCAATAGCATGTGTTGCTACTGCACTCAAGTGCATATGAATAACTACATCCAAGAATAGTTTCCTAAATAAACATGCCCACTTTATGCAGCAGGTGAGACTTTAACTGCTAACAGTACCCGTATATTTCAACTACAGAAAGCAAAACTGCTTATCTGGAAAGGCTGCTGGTGCAAAAGTAAATGGATTTTCAGTCTCATTTGGAAAACTTGTTACTACTAATTAGACTTTGAGGGGAAAAAATACATTTTCAAAAGAAGCACTGTAACAAAAATCTTCAGATTTAAATAAACTGAGTCTAACGGAGGCCAAAATTTTTTGTATCATTTTAAACTTCTAAGTTTGAGTAATATAAAGAGATCTTATGAGTTTGGGATGGTTTTTCTCTGGCCTGAACTAATATTTGCCCATTTTTCTTGTTGTGTGTGTGATTTCAGTTGCAGCTAATTTACAGAAAATTGTGGAAGAGCCTCAAACAAACAGATCCGTCACTTTCAAACTGGTATTTATTCCTGTTCCCTAACTGAACAAGCTGTCACTTGCAAAGACAAAGCATTGCATATAGATGCCTGTGGTGTCTACTGGGGACATCTAATGTATGCACTCTAAATCCTCCTTTCCAAAGCTTCCTACTGGTTGTCTAATGGTAGGCAATGCAGGCTCCCATCTTGTCCTCTGAGCAGGACCTGGGTTAAACAACTGTCAGATGATGTGCTGACACAGAGCTTCCCTTGCCCTGACCTGTAAGCATACAGAAATGTTACAGAAGGGTGTTTTCTGGGTCTAGAAGTTACACAGGCCTGGAAATGACAAAAATATGTCAGGGCAGGTAAGTGGGCTAAAATGTCAGTGACTCCTTGAAGGAGGAGGGTGTCAGAGAAAGAAGTGAAGGGGGATGGGGTTAAGCCAAAAGCAGAGAAGATAGGCTAGAGGAGGAGAGATAACAGCAGATAGTGAAATGCATAGATAACTATAGTGATAAAGCAAGGGTGTAACCATTTTATTGGCAGTGAAGCTATCAATTATGTTACTTTTGACCCTTTCCTTGAATAAGCTGTTCTTTTCTCCTTGTTTAGTGCATGTATCCGTAGCCAGAGCAGATACTGGCAGAACTTTAGTCCCAGCTCTTCTAGCTCAAAAAAAACCCCAAACAAACAAAAAAACCAAACAAAACTCAGTTTTAACTTTGGGAGATGCTGGTTGCAATGCAAAACTGTCTTGTAACTGCTGCCTCCCTAAACTATGTCTGTTGTACCTCATAGTGATACTAAGCATGGTGTGAGTCATAAGGCAGAGCATGTGTGTTGCTATTTGGATCTCTGTTCCTTGTGTTCCAGGCATCTGGTGTTGAAGGCTCAGATATCCCCGATGATGGCAAACTTATAGGATTTGCACAGCTCAGCATCAGCTAAACAATGGCCCCAGGAGATGATTCCCAACAGAGAACCCACATGTGCATATTTGTAATGCTTCTGTTAGCCTAAAAAAGAACCACTACTGCCAAAGAATTGAACTACAGCCCCCTTCCTAGAAGCTTTAACATTCTCCTTAATAGGATCACAAACCTTCCTGAGATTACCGATGGCGTTTACACCTTTTGTAAACAAGTCTCATGTTTTTGTATGTCATCTCAAACATGCAGATCCAACATGTCATTGCCTGCATGTTCATATTATTATTGCCTTACTTTAAAGAAAAATACTACTGAGTACGAAGCGGGGGTTCCACTGCTCTGATGATCTCGCCTAAATGTTTGCTTACATGTGGTTTCATTTTTTTTCACTTGCTATTTTTGCACAAGTTTTAATACCGAACAGATCTTTTTTTGTTGTTCTTTACCTGCTTCTCCTTCCATCCGAAACACCAGTGTACATGTTGCTTGTGTCACCTGGAGTGCTGAGAAATCTGCTTCTCTTCAGCTGTCTTTTTAAACTGCTGGTTTGAATGCTTGCACCTGAGAAGGCAAGCCAAGTCTTAACCCACAGGAGGGAGAGCCTTCTTCCCTTGTGTTTGTGTTTTGGAGAAGTTCCTTGACTTCAGAGTGTTAGAAGTCAGCTTCCCTTTGTAAACTGCCTTAATTTTTTTTTTTTATTTTTTATCATTTGGGTTCTCTCCACATGAGTGCCAGGCATGGCATGACGGCTGAACCTCTTAATTTACGTTAAGCAGTCCTTCCTCAAAAGATGTCTTTCAGTCTACATCCTTAGATGTAGTTTGTTCTTAAAGCAGAGCAACGAGGCACTGCTGTCTGAAAACTGGTCTTGCAGATGATCAACAAACTCACCACTC